GCCGTGCCAGCCTCCAAATCTCTGTTGTGTTGGTTGAAATCTTGCCACCAAACCCAAGAAGTTAGGGAAGGAGACAGTGTGACAGATGCTGCGCAAGCCCAATACCACGATAAAATAATGCACTTGCAGCGCACCGTCCTGCGTTCACCTTGCTGTGGGGCACACGGTAAAAATCGTCGTTCCTGACGGTCGAATTGACGATTTCGCGTCAGCGCGTACATAAAATTTCCCCAAGAGCTAGCCAGGTGCAAGCCTCTACCTTGCCAAAAGGAGTCCGCACACCCATCTGGCCAATGTCCTTCCACTTCACAAACCTAATCTACTAGTTTGCTGGACTTTCAGAATGGCCAAATTATTTTTGGTCAGTGTTGAATGACACGTTATGACTTCATGACTTTTGCGCCGCCAAAACAGATGACTGTTAGCTGTTACGATAGTTCCATGTATGCTAACCATTAAGTTATCCGCCGGCTATCCGGCACGTCCGTACTTTGCGGATGATGGAAGAGCTGGATAAGAAATATCAGACTCTCAGAGCTAACGAAAAAGAAGTCGTAGACCGGTACCATTACGTGTAAGTTTGAGGTCTAAAACGCCTCCATCACCTTGTGGTTATGTTCCCCAATCCCCGTTCTAGTGAGAAAGAACTTAAAGAAGCCAGTCAGAGGTTCATTGAGGACAAAATGAACCGAAATGATCAGCAAACTGGCGCCTAAAATGTTCGAAAATACGATTATGGTCAATGCTCTGGAGTCTGCGAGGACCGGAGCGTCCCATGACCCGGTTCATTCATGCGTGCGAGTAGTATGAGAGCTGGGTTAGTCAACACAGTATCGCACGCCGTACAGTAAATAAGAAACAACTCGTTTTCGTCGGCTGTGACACCAAGTCTGACAGCGAGCAGTCCTCGTCAGTGCAACATGTATGTCCTCCGACGACCTGGATTCGAATTACCGACTCAAGCTCCCGGGACCAAGATACCTGGGTCCAACCGCCCTCCTCTCGTTCCCTCCACGACGGCAGCAGTATGACGAATAACCGTGGAGCATTTGGGTGTGCAGTAGTCAGTAATGGCTAACTTAGGCACGACGAGGGAGCACTTTACTAACATCTGTTTACTCGCCAATATCAAATGCCTGCCAGTGCGATAAACAAGTCTTTGTTCGAAGCCTCAAAAATTGGTTGGAAATCTTTATCGCCATAGAACCCTGATTATTGTCAGGAACTGAAACTGTCGTTCATCGTTAGTTTTCTGTCGGGTTTTTTTTTAGGAAACAATGGCAAAATGACGTTGAGCTTCACTAATTAGAACCGACTGTCACCAAGAAGGGCCTTTAGAATTGCTTCGGACCACTGTCAACCCAACATTCATGTGATGATTTTGGGGTCAGATAGAATGACTACATCGTATTCCGAGTTTCGTAGCCGGGTTCATGGTGGCAGATCGATGTTTCAGAGGAGACTACTGACGGCTGACAGTAAGAACGTGCTTGTCTTCAGGCACTTTAAAGTTCACCCACACTCGCATCCAAGATCCCCTGCAAGATGCGTCAGCGTCGCGAAATTACGACAAACCAACAGTCGAGGACTTTAGCACAAAAATTCGGTCTTGCTTTCCAACACGCGTCGAATAAGGCGGAAGAAAGTGGACGCTATTTAAGGTCCCAGTTCACAAGGCAGATGCGAAAATTTTTGGACTCATTTTGCGACGCTGGATCGATTGAATTGACTCGGGAATCTTTCAATTGTCTGCCTAGTCATCATGATCCTCCACCAACCCCCGGGACTGATGACAGTCTCTAGATTCGACGACAGGAACTATTGGCCTGGAATGGCACAATCTGTTGAGCGGGCTTAAAGCGTCAATGAACCTCGAACTCTATCCACTTAGTGCGTTATTGGCGTGTCCCCCTCATTGAGTATATATCCTTCCCAGCCTAAACAGTGTCATTCTGTCCAGGGAACAGTAACAAGGTTACTGGAGAGGATGGCATTCGACCGGTCTACAAGTCCTGTGACTATATTGGAGTTCCGGCTTCTTCTTTGCGCGTGTTTTCGATAGGACTGACACAAAGCTGTAATAACCGTGGCACAAGGTCTATTGACAATGATGTAGATAATGGAGATAGACGCTTCGTCGATGAGAAATCATTGCTATGACCAAGACCTGTGATCGCTTCACCACTGTCATTTCTAGTTCACAAAAATCCTTGCGACCAGTTAACACTGTTGTATCTCTTCACCATTTTGTCAAACTGCCATTAACTGGATTCTCCAAATGACTCTATGCGGTCTTGACAGTGCCGAATTTGCACCAAGAAGCTGAATAACCGAATTTAATTGTGCTGTCCACATTGCCTTGTTAGTACCTAGCTGTAAGGAGCTACAGAATGCAATGCCATGATAAGATAAGGTCACTAAATTAACCGGTCTGTTCAACGCTAGGAAGGCCAAAGCGCTTTCAAGCTACGTTTCCGGCCTAGAAGAAACCCAGCAGGACTAATAGCGGTCAGCTCGAAGACTTGGATTGCTCCTAATGCCCCCTATTGGAGTTGTCGCCATATGGACGATGTAAGAACGACGCCGTCTCCAAACCGATGCTGCTCGCTGGGGTTTCGCAATCCATAAAAAGAGCCTTTAGACCAGACACGGCATCTTACTTGTCACAAAGATTCGCGTACTAGACACGCATCTGGTTAGTCGTAAGCTTGTGAATACTGGACAGTACGCGTGTGGAAGAGGAGCGACGGTGAGGTTTTGCCGAAGCTGACTGAGGACAAGCCTCTGAGTGGGATGCACGGACATCGTCTCAAATCACAGTCCGCATTCGCCACAATGCGAGGATACCTCAGGCCATCCAAGATGGTTGAAGTGGCTGGGGCGCGTTCTTCGTCATCCGCCGTAAGTATTAGCCGCCACCTAAATAAACACGAGATTAGCCCAAGACGGTCTCCGTCACTGGAGAAAGTTGAGCTCAGAAGACTTGCGCTGCATACCGCTACGCGACATGACCCGCGACACGGCCGGTCGGATAAACCAGACTTGGCCGCAGCCTTGTCAAGCACCAGTGTGTATTGTGATTTTCCAGGATAAAGTGGGTCCCTCGGCTGAACTGGCGAGTTTCAATGACTACACTGATGCCTGGACTTCTATCACAGACTGGGAAACTTACAATGCCAGATGCTAGGTGATGGGTGCTGCGTGATTTAGAAATAAACGTTTGCATTAGCTATAAAACGTTCCCGGGACAAGTGGATTAGGCAGCGCATCGACATTTACGACCGAAATCCGAGCAGTGACCCAACTTGGTGATGACAGAGCACCCGGAGAGGCCGCTGGTTAAAGTTAACCGGGACTGCTTCCACGCCACTTCTATGTTTGGAAGTGGCGTCTCGCCAATCGTTTATTAGCCTTCCACTCCGGCAAATACGCCTCGCTACGACTCATGCGACCATGTCTTGCGAGCGGGTGCTGCATATGCGTATTCAGGTCCGACGACGGTCAGTCACATTCACCCAAACTCCACAATGACCCAATTAACTCGCCAAGTTGACACAGACTAGCTCTCATATGACGGTCACTTGCGCCCAACCCACCCTAACGGAGACGCGAGCAAGCCCAGATCCAGCCGTACGCCGAGAGCACTAACCACCATCAGGCTTCTGCACAGACTACAAGCTCCAATTGGTGCTTTCTCCTTCTCCAGGACGGACTTGCCCTGATTATGGCGGTGGTCAAGATACACCCTCTACCTAAGTCTATACAGCCCAACCGGTGATCGTAGAGTATGGGCCAGACTGTTTCGCGATGTCTCGTCGGACGTTAGAACTGGCTAAATCGACACCGGTGATAGCTGTCACAAGTCGGGACCGAAATAGCCATATTGTAGCTGAGGCGAAGAAAATGCGCGTTTTCAAACGGTTTACTTTGACAAAATAAGCTTTGACAAGGGGACCAGGAATTTGCATAAGTCCTAGTCGATAGATCGCAGCAAAAACAACGGCTAACAAATGGATGCAAATGTTAACGTTTCTGGAAAAACCGCAGCGTGGAGAGCACGATATCCCAGTGCGTTACTGTTTAGTCCAGATCTAAAAGTTGAAAAAAAAGTGATGACCAAATAGTCGCTCTTTAAGAAGGAAACAACAGAAATAGACGCAAATATGTAATCTGTGGCACATATGCCGGGGTATGACTTCGCAATTGAACCACCAAAGGCAGTGTACACAAATTCCGTTGAGAATAACTCCTGAGCCCTCCTGTGACGAAAGGTCACCATTACTTAGGTTTAATGCCAACACATAACGTCAATAGCAGGCCGGAGAGGACACCTTTAAGATATGAGTAACGGCGTTAAAAATGGCTTCCAGGTCCAGAATCTGAAATTCTGCCTTGTGAATCCAAGTCTTCTGATACTGCTCGAGACAAGCATCCGACTCCTGTTTATATTATGGGTCATGCACTAAGACTCGAAATTTTCTTAGTCTGGATGAAAACGCGGCTTAGAGTCACCAAATAGACAATGCCACGATAACGTCACTTCATAAATGAGGGCCGAGTGAAGGCAACATAAATTTTATGACCATCTAACATAATGTATTCTGTGGGTTGCACGGAATGGTAAGGGAGGGCAGTGATATAGGGGGAGGGATAAGAATTTAGTAAATACTTTCAGAGAAGGATATTACAGTAGAGGTTCTAACTCATGAAATGTTTTCCGAAATTCTGAAATGCGTTATCGACTCGAAAAGATTGGTAGGGTTGTAATACTAGTTACCGTGCAGCATAACCCTATGATAATCCAGTTGCTTCAGGAAACTGGCTTCCGAATGAACTTCTTTCCGAGAGTCTGCAAACTGCACTCTGCAAGAAAAGACTACTTAAATAGTATGAATTTTTCTAATTGATTCTTGATGTCCATATAAATTCAAATATTTTTCCTAGAGAACATATGTAGAAATATTCATTCCTGTACTCGTTTGGTGGACAATTACGTCTTCTTCGAATCTTATACTTGAAGAAAGGATATGATTTAGTTTAAGAAAACTTTCCGGTTTCCGAATAATCTGAATCGGACCTGCCGTAAGACTTTAATTCAGGGCTTCCAAACTACAGGCCGTATATTTTCCGTGTACGGAAAACCATACATTTCTATACACTATTGAAAGGAGACCATGTGGGGTTCATACAATTTGGCAGTGGATTTGAGCGATGTGAACTTTACAAGCAGTATTAGTAAATGCAGAGACACGATGTTTAATGAACGGGCAGTTCACGGTCTTGAAAATCTCACTAGAAACTTCTTTTAAACTGAATAATACCCTTCCTTCAAGTATAAAATTTGCAAACGTGATTTTCTACCAGACGAGAAGGGGATAAACATCTTATGTACGCTTTTTATGAAATGTATTTGAATTCATATGGACATCGGGATGCAATAAGAAAAATCTATACTACTTAAGTAGTCATTTTTTGCAGAGCGTAGCTTGCAGGTGGTCGGGAAGTTCATTCGAAAGCAGAGGATGGCTACGGTTAACAAGCGAAGCAGTTTTGAGATATTTTAACGTAAAATGGTTAATATAGCTAGGCAAGAATAGAAAACGACAGAGACCATAAGGCAGTTGCAACACTAACGCCCTACAACACTGCTGTGATGGCGCAAGAATCACGTGTGAGTTTTCATGCATTCGGTCGCAGCCACACAGGACTGCAGGGCTCTAAATCAGCACCGCAACGAATTCAATAAATCAGAAAACATGAAAAGAAAAGGCAGAGAATCGAACTATAGCCTGAAGAAGAATCCAAAACCTAACAGTGATCGGTGACGCGACCAGGCCTATCTGGAACGAAAGAAGAGTGCAGGATTGATTTTAACTACCCCTATGCACTACATGTCTTGAGTTCTCGCATATGTTTCGTCTTATCTAGAAGGGTCGATTGCGCACGAATACTGTTGAGCTGGCAGCAATTAACAAGTAGGGGAGTGCATTCGTACCTTGTAGACAATAATACATGAATGAATTAGGGGCAGTGGGGTCGAAAATAACTTAGCGGAACGGACCAATGAGAAACAAAGATGTTAGATTTGAAGAATACGTACCATCTCCTGCTGAACTCGTGGGCGGCGTGTGACCACCTGGCGGAGCAAATGTGGCTCCCCCTGAGCCCTTCATATTTTCTTGCATTTTCTTCATAAGATTAGCGAATTTCGGATTTTTTGCAGCCTTCGCAAAGGCAGCAGGGTTTGACATCCCTTCCGAAAACGCAGATTGGATTTCTGGATCCTAGAAATAGTCGTTTATTAAACATCAGGACATACTACGCGAAGTTAGCAAACATGACAATGTTGAGAGCGGGGATAAAGTATTATACTTAAGTTACCTGCATGGCCGCCATCATCTCTGGATCAGAAAACAGGGAACCAAAGATATTCTCCATGCCTGGGGGCATTTGGCCAGGCATGCCAGACGGCATATTAAAATGTTCCCGAGCACGTGCCTTGGCCTCCTCCTGTATGCAACGTAAAGCGACAGGTGAATAGATGTGGCTGGCAATAATCCAGAAATGGCACTTAATACGTGGAGTCAAAATGAATGTAGACAACTAAATCCCATGAGATGGTAAAAGGATGCTCGTGGTGGTCTTTGATTCTACTCACAAGAAGCTTGCATTCCAGGACTGATAAAAATGTCACTAATTGAAAAAGACTCATGAAGCTAAACACGAAAGTATCGCTTGGGTGCTCCAGAGTACAGAGGGTCGGGACTGCTTAAACTTAACGCTGGACACATAAACATAAGGGTGGCGACTGTTAGGCAGATGTGGGTTCAGTGCATTTAAAATTCGAAATCCATAAAAGGTGTTGCAGTGGCCGCTCCAGGTGCAAAGAACAATAAGATACACAATTTGTATATTCCAACGTAATTTAGCAAAGAAAGGCCTGTCGTGGTAATGCAAGAAGGTAGCGACTCAATACGACTCACCTTTTTCGCCTTTTCGTATGCCCTCTGTCTAGCCTCTCGAGCTTTCTTCAGCTCAGTATATTTCTTCTCCTCCGTTTTCCGTTCATACTTGAGCTTGTGTTCGTGTATCCTCTTGTACTAAAATTCGAAAAAAACGTAATTCATCAAAAGGCGATGGTGAAACTACGCAGTGCCTACAGTAAAACGTCAAAAGTACATCAGGGGATAATTATCTCCTGGCCAACTTAAGTTTGTAAGGCAGAACGTCTGCACTGGGCGAGTCACATGGAACCGTCTAGCATGTAACGGCCCACTTATGCACCGTAATTTGAGATAATTCACAAACGAGGATAAAGAGTTGTGTATCCCACACTTACTTTGGGTTCGAGCTCCTTAATCGCTGCATTTGCATCGTCCGTGTAGTCCAGTTTCAACGACGTTTGCAAATCGAGGTACGCCGACTCCCAATGACCCAATAACCTTACAGATCGACTAGAGGTGTGTTTACATACTTGTTTGCTAAGCCACGCCACTTGTAGGCCGGAGCTGTGTCCGGATTTAGCGAGATCGCTTTGTCACAATCCCTGATGGCAGCCTTTGGTCTCCGCAATTTTACGTAACAGCTACAAAATCAAGGCCAACTAAAATAACCTACGCGGCTCTTTTTGCAAAGCACATTGACAGGTGGGGGTTAGCCGTAATGGACTCAGTGAACAGGGCCGCCGCTGCCTCAAAATCGCCTGCAGAACGATCATCTTTGTCAAATATACCTACCATCAGCAAACTTCGCCTGCGCCTCGCATCGTTTCTCAGAGGCCTTATCTGCCATTTCTTCACTAACTTCAACAGAATCATCTCCCATTGGTGGGAGTTCATCAGATTCTGGAGGTATCACATCGGTTGTGTCAAACTCTGAAAGGCGTAATCAGTTTACGGCAATTGATGCAATCCAATCTACCAAGCTCTGACTCTTCGCTTTCGGGAGCCTCCTCTTCCATTGGAGAAGCTTCCTCCTCAGATGAGCTCTCGAATGACGTTTGCGCCGCGCCTTTGCTGTCCTGTTTCGGAATATTCGCACCCATACTAACAACCAGAAAGTTGACATATAGTATTAAAACCATACGACAAAAGGTATTCTTTCAGAAAGTCCAACTCCGGAGAATGAAGAAGTTCCGGATGTTGCTTCAACACGGCAATGAAATCTTTTGCCTGCTTAAGCGCTTCAGGTGGGAGCACACCGCTACTCATGATTAACGAAAACTCTCGAAGATTGTGGCACCCGCCCAACGAATGCCGCAACTCATATTATTTGCAAGGTCAGGTACAACGAAGTTCAAGCTCTGGCGCCGAGGCGCAACAGGACTTGCAGGTTACGTATCCGGATCGGTAAACGTCCCTTCCTATGATCATGCTGTAATAATTATCTCTGGATTAAAAAGTCGAATATTTTAAAGGAGTTTTGTTATGATAAGCATGGGTGTCAGACCCAACCCAAAAACAGAGGATTCAGTGTTGAGGAGATGACAGTGTTCAATTATACCCTGGAAAAAGATAAGACAGAAAACTGCCTAAAAGGGAAAAGAAAAAGAAAGTTACGGGCCTAAGTATACAAAATAGTTGAAAAATTCTTGATAAAAAAAGAAAAATAACATGGCATGAACTAGAGAATAATACCAGACCTTTAAATAAAAAATGCATATGACAAAATAGGAGTGCAACGTGCAAAAATGCAGTAAGAATCATAATATATAACAAGGGACAGTAAGTTTGCTGGACATCAGAATATACCTGTGGAGCACTCTGAAGCGACGTGTGTGTCGCCGTACTCAAGAATTCGCCGACCTCAAGAAATCATACATACACGACTAATATTTATTTCATCGGTCATCACTGACGTAAGTATAGAATACGGCTATTTGATGAGTAAAAATCTGGGGCAGGACATGGACTGAAAAGCCAATGACGCCGGGAAACATAATCAATTCCACACCAGCTGTCTCCGAAGAATACAGCAGCTGGGGTGGCAGGACAGGAACCTGGACACGAAAGTACTGAAGCGAACCGGAAGCCTCAAAATCCATCCCATGCTGGGGCAACTTCAACTGCGATGGAGCTGTGGCAGTTCGCGTCTCCTCGCCCTCCGCTTTTGTCACGCTGCCGTCCTGTCCGCCTCACACTCCGTGTCGATACGCTACTGGGACGACGAGCGATTACCCAAGCAACTCTTCTGTAGAGACTTCGTTACGGATGCTCGCTGACACGGTAAATAACAACGATGCGAAATGGACAGTCAACAGAACTCCCACAAGGATCTAACACTCAATTAAGTGATATGTCAGGACCTTGGACAGGACCAAACGGCCTGGTGAAGAGCAGTGAAAACTGTAACAGCAATCTACGAAAGCAGTTGAATGGCCGTTGCAAAAGCCAAAAGAAGGGGCGACAATGATGAAGTACTAAGAGCCCTTAACTTCATGCAGCCCACCGCTCGCAAGGTGTCATTGTCGTAAGAGAAGATTCCGCACACGGCTCGGCCTCGTCAAACATCTTCTAACTCGATGCAATAACGGCACTATAAATCCACCTCCTGTCTCCACAAACGCCTACGTCGTCAGTCTTGCCACAATCCCAAGAAGTCCGCGACTGCGACCATCGTCACCATCACTACGTGTCCTCTCGCTGCCCTACCGTTGCCGCCGCCATCGACCACCCCCAACTCCATCATCACTGTCACAACCACAGCGACGGTGGCGGCGGCGACGGCGAATACAACTATAACCCCTTCTACTGCTGCCGCCGGTGAGAACACCTCTAACGTCCTACCAACCACCACGTTGTCACCATTGTCCCCACCACCAGCAATGCAGACTCGTAACCAACCTGTCCTCATTTCGATCACTCCTTTGCATCATGCATTGGACTGGTCGATCACTTGTCAAACCATCGGGTTAGCTAGTGCCAGTGGCCCCGACATGCACTCGTCAAATTCGTCCCAACTCTGCGAACTGCCCATGCACACTCATTCGGCGCATGGGCCTAATCGGCCACATGCGTAACCATAACAGCAAAATCCCAACAATGTGTACATGCCAAGCCCACTTTGCACATTCGCAAACTCTCCCGTCTCCAGCACTACCAACTCCCCCTCCACCAGCGTTAATACCATTGGCAGCATCAACAACACAACTAGCACAGCAGCTACCAGTCTGTCCTGTCCACGTTGGCAATGCACGTGCAAAGCAGGCATTGGCCTGATTCGTCAGTTGCGAATCCATCACACAGAGGCTGGCGGACCTGTGACTGGAGCACTAAAATACAGCCGTCGCCACTCTCCATGTGCATTAAGTCACCGCACAGGCCTGTTCGGTCGCATGAGCCTTCATAAAAATATTCAGTAAACGACCGCCGAGTAAACCAAATCGCCACACATCGCCTCACAAACACATGCACATGGCATGAACACGCCTGACATCACACACCACGGGCAAGGACTTACAGTTCGACCATCGATTTCGATGATGTCCACCGCGTGCCCCACAGCATGTTGGAGCAGGGACGGTGACTTGCGCAGGGGTTTATAGTGCGGGTAGACTTGCGCTGCATCTACCTACACTCTCTCCTCCTCCCCCGCCTGGGCCCGGTGTCAAGACAGAGTCAAGAAGACCGGAGACGAGGGAGGCCGCAGGTGGATGGCTCGGACGGATCCTCGCGTTGGCGCTCCACTCCGCACCCCCTGGTCCACACAACAATAACCAGGATTTCAACCAACAAAACAGAGATTTGGAGACTGGCACGGCCGAAGCCGCACCTAGGCGTGCCGCCAACGCCTGCCTCGGATCCCACACTGTGGTGGGAGTGCCAGAAAGGCCACATTAAAAAGGAGTCATTGCAGTCTGACTCTCAGACCGCCTCCGGTCAAGGAGGAGGTCCAAGTTACCCCGTCAGTTGGCAACCTTCCATGCCACGGCTTTTAGCGCACCGTGATAGCTTCAAGCGCGTCAGATTGATTATAGTGGGGAAAAAGTGCGCTGAGTCGTCGACCTCACTCTCCCTTCCCATTCCCACACCCCAGCCGCCGTCCGAGCCGGTCGGCAAACTGGAGAAGGGAATGGGCGCGGTGGCTGCCACGGCTGACTGACCGTGTCTGCGCGCGCCGCAACACGACCTGGCCCCCCATACAAACAACACCAGGATTTCACACAACGGGGGTTGAACGGCGTGTCTCTCACTTGCGTGAGAGGGCCGTGGACGGTGCTGCTTCAGCCCGTTCCCAGCCCACCAGTCTGCCACTCCACACAGCACACACACACACACACAACGCGACGAAATGCGTGAACCGAGAGCGGGCATCAATCAGCAACCTTCCTATCCACGACACTTGAAGTGTCGGCATAGTCTCGGACTCAAATCACCCGTACAGCCGAAACCGCGTGGGAACCGAGTCGAGATGCACACTTCCCACTTGCGTGGAAGGTGGCAGTTGGTGCATGCGGTGGGTGAGTGTTGATGTGTGTTGGTGACGGTGGAGGAGGTAGGGAATGTGTGGATGTGTGGTGTAACCGGCGGTTGTCTACCGCAGGTCGTCGTGGATGCGCATGTGGCCGAATAGACCCATGCGATGCGTGAAGATGCGAGGCCAATGTGGGCAGTGGAGGCGAGTGCGGTGGGTGTAGGTTGGTGCTTCACGCACTGGTTCGCCGGTCTCTGTGCGACGGATTCGCAAGTGACCGACCAGGCCGATGCGTGAGGTGAAGGTGCGATCGCAGTGAGGGCAGATGTAGTCCTGATTCTCATTGCTGGAGTCAGGAGAGGCGGGGGTGGTGCCGGTTGTTGTGTCGCGTTCGGAGATGTGCGAGACGGCTGCCTGAGCGGCCGCTGTTGGGGCAGTGGTGGTGGTTGTGGTGGGGGTGGTGGTGGTGGAGGAGGAGGAGGAGGAGGTAGAGGAGGCAGAGGAGGCAGAGGAGGCAGAGGAGGCAGAGGAGGAGGATGGAAGTGGTGGTGCAGAAGAATTCACAGAGTTATTCGGCGGCAGAGAGGACGAGGATGACGCGGGCGGGGGGATGAAGTTTGGTGCAGTTCGAGAGGTACAGTTGATCCGAAGATGTCCAACAAGGCCGATTCGAGCCCGGAATGTCCGCTTACATAGAGGACACGTTGGAAGCAGTTGTGCGGCAGCGTTGCTGACTGGGGGCAGTTGGGATTTGCGGGCTACGCGTTTCGCTTTGGCGGCGGCGATGCGGTTGGCTTCATAGATAGCAGCGCCCGTCTACACTGTTCTCCTCCATGCCGGACGATCGCAGGCGAGCTCTTCCCAGTTGGTCGGGTTGATTTGCAGTAGCTTCAGGGAGGACTTCAGGGTATCCTTGTATCGACGAATTGGGCCTCCTTGACGACGAGAACCCGTCGCGACGTCTCCGTAGAAGAGTCGTTTGGGTAGTCGCTCGTCATCCATGCGCACCAGGTGGCCGCTCCAGAGCAGCTGCATTTGTCTCAGTATGGCGTAGATGCTGAGGATTCCCGTTCGTTCCAGTACTTCCGTGTCGGGGATTCGATCCGGCCAGTTCAGCCTCAGGATGCGACGAAGACAACTGAGATGGAAGTGGTTCAGTCGGCGTGCCTGCCTCGTGTACACCGTCGAAGTCTCCGCTCCATACAGTAGCGTCGGCAGGATGACGGCCTTGTACATCTTCAGCTTTGTGCTCAGTTGGAGACCATGACGATTCCAAACTGTGCTTTGGAGGCGACCGAAGGCTTGACTGGCTTTCGAGATCCTGTTGGCGACTTCGTCATCAATCTTGGTGTTGCGTGAGAGGGTACTGCCCAGGTATGGGAAGTTGTCTACCACTTGCAGTTGAGTCCCATTCACGTTGATTTGCGGCGCGTTGGGGGCTGTGACTGAGTTGGGTGGCGGTTGATGCATCACCATCGTCTTCTGCGTGTTGATAACCAGCCCAAAGTTCTCGCAGGCGGCGGCGAATAGGTCCATGCTGCGTTGCATCTCCGCTTCGGAGGTGGTGTTCAGGGCGCAGTCGTCGGCGAAGAGGAGTTCGTGCACGGTGGTTGTGGATACGCGCGATTGGAAGTGCATTCGCCGCTGATTTAGGAGATGACCGTCAGTTCTGTAGGCGATGCGGATCCCGGGGCGTTCGTCGCGGTACGCGTCCATCAGCATGGCAGAGAACATAAGACTGAAGAGGGTTGGTGCCAGCACACAGCCCTGCTTCACTCCGTTAGTCACTGCGAATGCCTCTGAGACAGCTCCGTTGTCCGTGACTCGCGCCATCATACCGTCGTGCAGTTGATGAACCATCTGAATGAATCGCTCCGGACAGCCGAATTTCTGCATGATCTTCCACAGTCCTTCACGATTCACCGTGTCGAAGGCTTTCGTCAGGGCCACGAAGGTAGAGTACAGGTGGGTCCGCATCTCCTGGCACTTCTCCTGAAGTTGGCGGGCGGCGAAGATCATATCCGTGGTCTCACGATGACGACGGAAGCCGCATTGGCTTTCCGGCAGAAGGCCCTGTTCGAAGTGATTATTCAGACGATTGAGGAGGATGCGGGCGAAGATCTTCCCGGCGATGTTCAGAAGGGAGATGCCACGGTGATTATCGCAGACTTGGCGATTCCCTTTTCGCTTGTATAGGTGCACGATTGTTGCGTCCTTGAAATCTTGCGGGACTTCACCTTGACGCCACATCTCCTGGAAGAGCGCAGTCAGGTAATCCATCAGTTGGGGACCTCCGTGCTTGTAGACCTCAGCAGGGATCGCGTCCGATCCGGGCGCTTTCCCACTGGAGAGCTGCTGCACGGCCCTGATGGTCTCCCGGAGAGATGGCGGGAGGTCGAGGTCCACGTTGGTCTCCATTTGCGGCAAGCGGGCGATGGCGGCGTCGGAGATTGTGGAAGGACGTTTGAGGACGCCTCGGAAGTGCTCGGCCCATCGCTGCAGGATTTGCATCTTCTCAGTCAGGAGAGTGCTACCGTCGGCGCTGAGGAGAGGAGAAGTGCCCTTCGTCGGCGGACCGTAGACAGCTTTGATCGCGGAGAAGAAGTTCTTCCATTCGTTGCGGTCCGCGTACCCTTGGATCTCCTCAGCTTTGCGAGCAGTCCAGGCGTCCTGCATCTCGCGCAGTCGTTGCTGAAGCTGTCGGCGACTGCGGCAGAAGGCAGCTTTGGTGGCATCAGTGGGGTGATCGACGTAGGCTTTGTGTAGGCGGTTCTTCTCAGCTAGCAGATTTCTGATGGCAGCGTCGTTGTCGTCGAACCAGTCCTGGTGTTGGCGGGGAGCGCGACCGAGGACGGCGAGCGCCGTCGACTAAACCGTGTCTCGCAGTTGACACCAGCGGTTCTCCACGGAGGCGTTCTCGGCAGCGGCGGCGTCGGCAGCGATTGGAAGATTGTCTAGCCGTTGAGTTAGCCCATTGCTGAAATGGAGATTGTGAATGGGCAAAGACAACAAGGCAACATTCAGCTTACCTGAGGGTCGCTTACCTTGTGGTCTCCTGCGAGGCTGCAGGCGAATACGCATCTTCGAGATGACGAGGCGATGGTCGGTCCACCCGTCAGCACCCGCAATCGCCTTCGTCACCAGCATGTCCCGCTGGTCTCGCCTCCGGACGAGGACATAGTCCAGCAGGTGCCACTGACGCGACCGTGGATGCCTCCAGGTGGCCTTCTCTCGCTCCGGCAGACAGAAGAACGTGTTCGTCAGGATGAGGCGGTGTTCTGCGCAGGTGCGGAGGAGAAGCAGGCCGTTGTCGTTGGAGCCGTGCAGACCGTGGGGACCCAGCACTCCTCTCCAGGCAGTATGGTCTGTGCCGACGCGAGCGTTGACGTCACCAAGGACAATCAACTTGTCCGCTTTCGACATAGTCGCCAAGAGGGCGTGCAGGTCCTCGTAGAATTTGTCTCTTGCAACGGCGTTGAGGCTGGTCATCGGCGGAGCGTAGGCGCTGATGATAGTGGCGAACTTGCCTCCTCGCCGGAGGGGCAGACGATGGCTCATCAGGCGATCGTTGATGCCCTGCGGCATACAGGGCAGTCGTCCCAAGATGTCGGTCCGGATGGCGAAGGCGACGCCCGCGTCTCGTCGCTGTGCCTTGGGTCGTCCACTCCAGAAGAAGGTGTAGCCGGCACCCACCTCCTCCAGTTGGCCTTGTTCGGAGAATCGGGTCTCGCTGAGTGCGGCGATGTCCACCTTGTAGCGCGCCAGTTCTCGTGCCACTAGCGCCGTCCACCGTTCCGGTCGGTTGCTCCGCGGATTGTCTAAAAGGGAACGAACATTCCAGGCTGCCAGAGTGAGCGGGCTCACCCTGCCAGTCTGGTGACAACGAGTGGGACGACGGGAGGAAGATGGAGAAGAAGGTGACGAAGGAGAAGAATAGGCAGAAGAATAGGCAGAGGAAGAGGTAGAAGACGTAGGATGAGGAGAGTGAGTATGGTTGTTGTTGTTATTGGTATTGTTGTTGTTTCGATTTTGATTGTTTAGACCATGATTAGACGTCTGCGTCCCTGGCTAGCCTGGAGACTGCGTGGTACCCAGCAATGTTTAGGTCACCTTTTCTAGGCCCTTCCCCTCATGAGGGCAGGCAGTGCCGCCTCTGAATCGGGCTGCCCATGTGCCTGGTTGGCGCGACCGAATCCCACTATGGGGCCACGACTTTTATGTTCGTAGTGGAGAACGTCCGCATATGCCGTGAGTCCGCGGTCTCCGACGGCTTAGGTGGGCGCGTCTCAGCGAAGGCTATGCAAAGACCCGTCCCGGCAGCAGTTATCCAACGGCGTACCAGGCAGAGCCTCGTCTCGACGATGCCGGCGCAGTGTTTCATCCGACCATCCATCCAGCGGAGTCCGCAGTACACTGTGCACGCGACACAAGCGCACAGCGCCCTCACCTGGTTTAGCCCGCCGGTCGAGACGGTTGCCCGGGGTGTGGCCGCTGAGCAGAGCCCAGCTACGTGGAGCCACAGGTGAGAGTTGGGTGCAAGCAAATGGACGCTAGGCGTAGTCTCACCTGCAAGCAAGTGAGCGACCACTACGACCATCACGTGAACCCACCGCCGACACCCCCTACACCCCACGGGCAAGGACTAGACACCTCTCACATGCATGTGAAATGTGTTTTTTGCCCCTTCTCCATACAGTTGCCATTTTACTCCAACACATGTGAGATCTGATCAACCCACCCCCACTGGGTGAATTCCTGGTGTGCTGTGTGCAGGCAGCCTCGTTTTTGTGGCACGCGCAGACGTGTTGTTTTAGCTCTCGGAAGCTGAAGATGCGATCGCTTGATGTCTCGCATTCTCATTCTGGCCCATCAGCAGAGACAGCCTCTCTGCCGGTCATTGAGCCAAGCCGAATTATTGACTAGTTGACCCCTTCGGACATTCATATGACGAGCGGTTGAGGAAACAAGAGCTGATGTCTATTCTGGGGAAGTCGCCCCGCTGCTGTTAAATTGCTGTCGGTCATGACAGACCGACATAATTGCAGTAGGGTGTCTGACCCGTCGGCTCCGCGCCATGTATGCTCGCCTTCCCCCATCCTTTCGGTTGCGGTTGTCGTCCTCTTGTGTGTGTGTGTGTGTGTGCCCTCCAAACGGGCTACGTGGTAGATGCGCTGGACTAACACTGGTCCACACCGGATTATGGCATGCGTTATCTTGCGAAATAATAAATTCCAACATTTAGGGTGTGCGATGGCAGACCCTGTTGTCGGTAGTCGTCGCGAAAACTGGGACCGCTGCTAATCGCCCTTTGTTTGTCGCTCAAAATCCTGGTCATTTATTGTGTGGACCAGGAAGTGCGGAGTGGACCAAGGTGCGGATTCGTCCAAGCCATCCCCTGCGGCCTCTCCCTACACCAGTTTTTTGACTCTGTCCTTACACCGGGCTCGGGTGGGGGAGGAGGAAAGAGTGTTGTTGACGCAACGCAAGTCTATTACCACTATAAAGCCCGCACAAGCCACCGGTCCTGCCCCATCGTGCTGTGGAGCACTCGGTGGGCATTGTTGAAACCGACGGTCGAATTCTCGCACGCTTCCGAAACCGCCGCTCATTAACTTCTCTCGGCCGACGACTGCGTCCTTAACACCACCTCGGAAGAGGACATACAAAGGAGCATGGACCTATTCTCCGCGCCTGCGAGAACTTCTCTCTGACTATCAACACGGAAAAGACGGCGATCATGCACCAACTGACACCCAGCACAGTCCCTACCCAAAATGCGCCGCTGATCAGCGTAAACGGGACCTGACTGCAAGTGGAGGACAGCTTCAAATATCTGGACGGTGCCCTCTCCCGCAGCACGAAAATCGACATTGTAAACGCCCACCGGATTTCGAAGGCCAGTCAAGCCTTCGGCCGCCTTCACAGCACAGTTTGGAATAATCATGGTCTCTAGCTCAGCAGGAAGCTGAAGATGTACAAGGCCGTCATTCTGCCGACGCTACTGTATGGAGCGGAGACCTGGACGGTGTACAAGAAACAGGCACGCCGCCTCAACCAATTCCACCTCAGCTGTCTGCGCCTCATGCTGAAGCTGAGGTGGCAGGATGGAATCACCGACATTGATGTGCTGGAGCGGACGGGAATTCTCAGTGTCTACGCCATGCTGAGACAACTGCAATTGCGCCGGAGCGGCCATCACGCGCGGATGGACGACGAGCGGGTACCTAAACGACTCTTCTATGGAGATGTCGCCACGTGTTCACGCCGCCAAGGAGGTCAAATCCGCCGATACAAGGATACTCTGAAGCCCTCCCTGAAGCGTTTGAAAATCAATCCGACCAAATGGAAAGATCTCGCTCGAGACCGACCGACATGAAGGAGGACACTGAAGACAGGCGCTGCGATCTACGAACCCAACCGCATCGCCGCCACCAAAGCCAAACTTGAAGCACGCACGTCCCAGCTGCGCCCACCTCGCAATGCCAACGCACAACCGCCTCCAACGTGTCCACTTTGTCAACGGGCATTCCGGACACGAATTGGACATGTTGGACACCTCCAGTTCAGTCAGTCAGTCAGTCAGTCAGTGTATTTGAGGAAAATAGGCTTACGCTTTTGAACTCCCTATTTGTACATAAAAAATCGATAAACAAGCAAAAATGTGAAGAAATTACAGCATTAAGTGAATGCATACATTGATTCACATATGTCATTAGTCACATGGCTAAAAAGTCACATAGTCCGCTTGTTGCTGCAGCATATATCTGTCAAGGCGACATTTAAATGTCTCCACATCTTGAGACATAACAACCGTCTCGGGCAGGTTATTCCACGGTTCCACGACACGGTTGGAGAAGAAATATTTTCTCACATTCAGTCTGCCCTGTGGCACACGTAGCTTGAAGGGATGTCCCCGGAGGTGAGTTGTAGTGGCGAGTTGGAAAAAGTCATCGTACCGAAGGGCACAATCCAAGCCGCGCACGATACGGAAAGTTTGTATCATTTCTCCGCGCAACTGTCTATAACTCAGAGGATGGAGATTAAGGTTAGTTAAGCGGATCTCGTATGGCAGTGCACTTTGACCTCTTATAAATTTTGTTGCTCGTCTCTGCACCCTTTCGAGTAGATCGTAATCCTGATGCGTCCACGGTCTCTAGGCCTGAATTGCATATTCGAGATGGGGCCTTATAAACGTGCCGCAGACTTTGGTAAAGCAGTCTTTATCGAAAACTACGAATGCCCGCTTGATGGCATATAGCATTGAGGTTGCCTCTCAATTCCTCATAGACCTTCGAGGTCGGAGAATAAAATCGGACGAGATCACGGTTTCCTTCGATGTGACGTCGTTATTCACATCCATCCCACCAAACTTGGCCGGCGAATTCTTGCGCAAGGGACTTAGAGAGACGTACGAGGAGACTCAGAATGCACTCACAATCGAAAACCTCATGAGGCTGTTTGAATTCTGCCAACAAAATTTCTTCAATTTTGCGGGTGAGACCTATGAACAAATCAATGGAACCCCAATGGACTCACTGGTCTTCGGTTTAGTGGTAGAACCGATCCTACATGAGTTTGAAAAGATTGCCTTCATCAAACATGAACCGGTTTTTTGGCGCCGTTACGTAGACGACACGTTCGTCATCGTAAAGAAGGACATGCTACAACATTTCCACAGCCTACTCCACGCAGCCTTACCTGATATAAAATTCACGAGGGAAGAAGAACAGGAACAACAGTCTGCCTTCCTGGATGTGCTTGTCAGACGAAACCTTAACGGTGAACTGGAAACAGCGGTTTATAGGAAGACAACGAACACCACACAGCTTCTCAGTTTTCACAGCAACCATCCGGTTGATGTTGTGTGAAGACGCCCTTCAAACGGATTTAAACTCGTTGCAGCAAACCGGAGGACAGAGCACGTGAAGCCCGTTATCTCCGCGACCAGTTTGCGTAAAATGGCTATCCAAGGGCATTCATAGGTCGCTGCCTACGCGGTTGCCACCTGAGGACTCGAACATCAACACCACAGACGATATGGCATTCTCTGCCATACATCAAGGGCGTTTCAGAAGTGGCCGAGCGCATTGCTGCGGAGCCAGGTGTTGGAATTGCACACGGCTCCAAAGTCACCAGGCACAATAGGATCGTGAAAATCAAAGACCGGTTAAAGCTTGAAGACCAATCGGGAGTAGTGTATCGCATTCCGTGCCAAAATTGATCTTGTAGCTACACAGGACAGACTTGGAAAATGTGACTACGGGGAGACGTGGGTATTCGAGCAGCTATCAGACTGCGAGGTATTGAGTCCTATCCCTACCCAACGTTATGATTTTGACCCCTGTTGGGGTGTTTATGTTGGTGGTGAAAAATCCTGGTGAAGTGTAGGTTGTGGACCAGGGTGTGTGGGGACACGCCTATGTGCAGGTCGGGACGTTCCAGTCGCATGCGCCCTCCACCGCCTCCGGTCTTCTTGACTCTGTCTTGAAACCATGTCCAGACGGGGAGTGGGGAAGAGAGAGAGTGCAGTAGGTGCTGCGCAAGTCCACGATCACTACAAACTAATTCATGCGTTAGTCACCGTGTTTGCCTCACTTCTAGGTGGAGCACACGGCGGACATCGTCGGAATAAACGGTCAAACTGTCGTAATTTCTCTGGTTCCATTCCGCCATCAGTCGATTGCAAGGTTCATCACGTCAGGACATGGAACTCGTGCGTACAACAATACCGTTTGTGGAAAATGCTAAAGCAACCACACTAACAGCACTGACCAGAAAATGTGCAGCCATTCACAAGCCTTGGTAAGGTATACTGAGTGAGACCTACCGACAGTTCGACCGTCGATTTCGACGATGTCCACCGTGTGTCCCACAGACTGCATTGTGGGAGCAGGGACGGTGACTTGCGCAGGGGTTTATAGTGCGGGTAGACTTGCGCTGCATCTACCTACACTCTCTCCTTCTCCCCCGCCTGGGCCCGGTGTCAAGACAGAGTCAAGAAGACCGGAGACGGGGGAGGCCGCAGGTGGATGGCTCGGACGGATCCTCGCCTTGGCGCTCCACTCCGCATCCCCTGGTCCACACACCACTGACCAGGATTTTGACCACAAAACAATGGGGTGGAGGCAGTGGTCCAGTTGTGCGACGAATGCCGACAACAGGGTCCGCCAGCGCACCCCGCAAATGTTGGCATTTGTTATTACGCAAAGATAACGCCTGCCAGAGTCCGATGTGGCCCCCGTGTTGGTCCAGCGCATCTAACACGTGGCCCGTTTTGAGGGCACACTGAGTGAGACCTAACAACTAATTATTCACCGTAAGGCATTCGGTACGCGAAGTAATCACAGCATGTGATTCTGTTGAGCATGGTAAAGAGAGCTACGATAGTATGCGTTGCTAAGGTTATTCGGTCTGCAAGATTTCAAGATCAGTTAAGGGTACAGTTGGAGTAAGGAAAACGGGTATTGTTGAACTATTTATGGGTGACAGAGGCTTAAACTCGTCTAAGTGTAAAGCACCAACTAAACCAAAGGAGGCTTTGGTTAAATCATTAAAAAAGATGACATCTCTGCGGGGATCCAGGATGAGGTTGGTGGGACCTCAATGTCTTTGTGGATAGCCAGTTTATGGATCCCGAACTTTGACACTTTCCGGCTCACCACACTCCCTCCCTCTGTGTTGTCAGACAGCGTCACGTCCCGCCAATTGTCTGGCAAATGTGTTGGAATCGCCCCTTCCCCTAGCTACAGACGAATCCGTTACATGTGTATTACTAGAGTAATACTCCGAAAATTCACGCTTTTGGATCTGCAGCTTCACGAATTAGCGTACTTTTTTGCTTGGAACCGAATGCTTAAAACTCGCCTAGCGTTAATCATCTCGCCGAAAATGCGTTTACGCGGACTCAGTGTCTCAGAGAAACCGTGGCGGTTAGTAGACGAACATGTACGCACAGAATGTACGATATCCTACTGTACGTACTTTACAGTGCGATGCTGTATATGTTCAACGTTACCCGCACAATTTTAATAGGCACTATAGAGCATATCATCAGTTCTTACGTGAAACTGAAGAGTTTTTATAGACGTAGCGTTTATTGTAAGAAAGCATGGTCAAGGGGCTATACACATATTTTGGGAGTTTCGTACTGTTAAACATGAAGCGTAATTTAGCTCGCTGTTTGACAAAAAGAGTAAGGCGGATCTGTTCGGCTGGTAGCATCAAGGAAGAACCTAAGGTTGTCGCTTTTCATCGGAATCCCGTTTCATGGAGACGCGCCGAGTGAGCTTCTAAGAAGGTGCCTAACTCAAGCTGTATCACGTACTTTTCCAGCAGCTGACGCCAATACATTTTTCTCCACTAGTCCTATCCTATACGGAGAGGGCAAGGACGGGCTGTCAGTCTAGACCAATTCTGTGTGCATTTACTCCTTCACCTGCTTCTGTGGGAAGCATATATTGGTCGTACGAGTCGGTGTTTGTCCAGAAGAATAAGTGAACATCTTCCAGCATGGTTAGAGGAGGGTCAACTAAAGAATATTAACAGCTGTATCCTCGCGCACATGATAGACACATATCACTGTGTAGATGCCGGACAGGCCTTCCGAAGAATTTAAGAGGTTCCGTCAAGCTATCAAAAACTGCTTACTCAGCGTCTGCTGGCAGCAGCAGAGGCGGCTACAATCAGGTTACACATGGTTACCATGGCACTTATTCCCCTCCCCCAGCCATTGACGGTAATTTTGTCTTCATCTCACCCACCCTCCTCCTTAAATCTCAGCTACAGAATAGTTTCTACTTACTCGCATAATCTTATTTATCATTTCATTAGCAATATAAGTTTACAGGTCAAAAGAGAATTTATCGAAAGCAAACTTATGCTTGCTAAACCGACTTTTTAATATAAATATGGTGGTCTGTTAATTTTTGACAAATAATTCCGTCTGTCAAGTAAGCTATCGGCGCCCGACAGAAATCTTTCTTAAAGAGCTCCATGTCACGCTTCGACGACCAATGACAGTGCGGTAGGGATCGATGAAGTTTACTTTCGCCGGATGCCTAGTGTGCCGATTGCAGTTGTCAGGGTAACATCTTCTTTAAGATTAATTCGGTAAGATGGACACACTACTGTTGGGGTTAGGGCTTATGGTTTGGGGTTGGAGTTATGGGTTAGGGTTAAGTTTTAGGATTAGGGGTTATAGTTAGGGGCTAGAGCTAGGGGTACGAGTTAGGGATTAGGGTTAAAGGTTAGAGTTAGGAGTTAGGGCAACTATTTTTTAACCATTCAGTATACAACCGTGCATTCCCAATAGTGTTTCTTTTGCATACAACTACTCGACCTCGTCGCCTGTGCGTTCCCCGGCCCCACCTGTAAGAACCCCTATTACCATCGGTTCGGTAATCCTCCCCACTTATTTCATCCTATATGGATAGAGCAAGGGCAGGCTGTCAGCCTGGGTTTGGATTCTGGACATCGGTCGGAGTTAGTTGACGGCGTAGAAGGCCAGAGAAAGGTGGACGGAGAGACGACGGTTGATGCAGTCCGGGTGGGGCAGTTGGTCGAATGTGTCCAACAGGTCCATTTGGCGTATGGAATGTACACTGACACCGTGGACACATGGGGATTGGTTGGACGTTGGCGCTGTAATGCGATGGCGGCAATGGAGATTTGCGTGCTTCTCGTTTAGCTTTCTTGGCGGTGATACGGTTTGCCTCGTATATCGCTGCGCCTGTCTTCGCTGTCCTCCTCTATGTCGGTCAGTCTCGAGCGAGCTCTTCCCAGTTGGCCGGGTTGATCTTCAGATGCTTCAGGAAGGTCTTCAGAGTGTACTTGTATCGACTGATTTGGCCTCCTTGGCGGCGGGAACTCGTAGCGACATCTCTATAGAAGAGTACTTTGGGTATATTCTTGCTGTCCAACCGCACAAGGTGGCCGCTCCGGCACAATTGTAGTGGTCTCAGCATGACGTAAATGATGAGAATTCCCATCCACTCCAATACGTCAGTGTCGGGAATCCTGCCCTGCCACCTCAGCCTTGGTTTCTGTCGAAGACGGCTGAGGTGGAAGTAATTTAGTCTTCGTGCCTGCATTTTATGGACAGTCCAGGTCTCCGCTCCATACAGCAGCGTCGGCAGGATGACGTCCTCGTATATTTTCAGTTTTATGTTGAGCTGAAGACAGTGACAGTTCCAGATTGTGCTTTGCAGACGGACGAATGCTTGGCTGACTTTGGAAATGCGGCGGGCAACTTCGTCGTCGATTTTGATGCTGCGGAAGACGGTGCTGCCCAGATGTGTGAAGTTGTCCACGGCTTACAGTTGGGCGTCGTTCACGCTGAGTTGCGGCGCATTGTGGTCGGTGTTCGGTGACGGTCGGTATATGACAACCGTCTTCTCCATGTTGATGATCAGGCCAAAGGTCTTGCAGGCAGTCGAGAAGAGATCCATGCTCTTTTGCATGCTCCCTTCCGAGGTGGTGTTGATGGCGCAGTCGTCAGCGGAGAGAAGTTCGTGAACGGCAGTTGTGGATACATGCGACTGGAAGTGCATCCACCGTTGATTGAGGAGGTTGCCGCCCATCGTATAGGCGACGCGGATCCCAGGACGTTCATCATGGTAGGCGTCCATCAGAATGACAGAGAACATAAGAATGAAGAATGTAGGCGCGACGACTCAGCCTATCTTTACTCCGTTGGTCATTTCGAATGCCTCTAAGACAGCTCTATTGTTCGTGACTCGCGCCATCATGCCGCCGTGGAGCTGACGCATCATGTGAGTGAATCGTTCGAGACAGCCGAATTTCTGAATGATTTTCCACTGTCCTTCGCGATTCGCCGTGATGTAGGCTTTCGTAAGATCCACGAAGGTATAGTACAGGTGGACCCACCTCTTCTGACACTTCTCCTGCAGTCGAATGGCGGCGAAAATCATGTCCGTAGTCCCACAATGACGGCGGAAGCCGCACTGGCTTTCCGGCAGAAGACCTTGTTCCAGGTGATTATTCAAGCGGCTAAGAAGGATGCAAGCGAAGATTTTCCTAGCGACGTTCAGCAAGGAGATGCAGCATCTCCTGGAAGAGCGCAGTCAGGTGATCCATGAGCGGGAGGCCACCGGTGCCACCGGCGCGACCCAGTGCCTGGAGCACCAACCCACATTCGCCTCATCCGCCTCCACTGTCCACAATGCCCTTGTACATTCATGCACCACATGGGCCTATTCGGCCAAATGCGTATTCACGAGAGCAGAATTGACCGCAGCCCGACACACCTAGCACACCCAGCACACCTACCATGCCTAGTTCCACCCTCACTCCGCCATCCAGCGCGCCCACCACCACCACCATCATCGCACCTGATACTGACCCCGCCGACTTCTCATGTCCACACTGTCCGCGCACATTCACCTCACACATCGACCTGGCCGGTCACTTGCGAATTCATCGCACAAAGACTGGCGAATCAGTGCCTGGAGCACAAACCTACACTCGCCACATCCGCCTCAACTGTCCACACTGCACTCGCACATTCATGCACCGCATGGGTCAATTAGGCCGCATGCGCGTCCACAAAAACCTGCGGTATCCAACCGCCGGCTGTATCACACTATCACGTCGTCCCTTACCAGCACCTCACCGCACATCAACGTCACCCACCGCAAGCACCCAACTGCCACCTCCCACGCAAGTGAGAAGTGTCCGGTTCGGCTCCTTCTCCATGCGGCTCCCCTGCTGCATGTGTGATCGGAGTTTGAGACGAAGACGGTGCGTCGAGTGCCGTGGCTCAGATGGCGGCCGACTGACGCCCCAACTCAATTCACGCAGTCTGTTCAGTTGTGTGTGTTGTGTGGAGTGGCGGACTGGTGGGCTGAGAGTCAGGCTGTCACGGCCCCTTCTCAAGCGATCTGTGACACCCTCATGCACGTGAGGAGAGAGTGTGTGTGTGCTTTATGGGTAGTGCCACTCAGTCGACGAATGTTTGGCTACCCAACCTTGAAGGGTGACGGCCCAGGCTAAATGTAGGGCCACGTGTCGTCCTTCTAGGTCAAAAAGGTCTGAAAGCGCGTGCTATGCCAGTATCAGCAAACTATGGCCCTCGCAGTCTGGTGTGGGATGACAGTCTCCTACCACGTGGTTCCCTGGCGCTAGATGTGCTTGCGCTCCGGCTGGGTATACAGGTGGTGGGCATGACTGCCCAGTCATCCTCGTCATTCTGACCCATGTTTGGGGTTTTTCGTTGTTGCTGTTGTTGTTCAAATACCTGGTCATTTGCTATGTGGATCAGGGGATGTGGTGGCACGCCTAGGTGCGGGTCCGGCCGTGCCAGACACCTGCGTCCTCCCCCACCTCCGGTCTTCTTGGCGCGGCCTTGATACCGGGTTCAAATGGGGAGTGGGTAAGTAAGAGTGCAGTAAATGCTGTGCAGGTCTACATTCACTATAAACTAAATCACGCACAAATCACCGTCCCTGCTTCACCTTTTTACGGAGCACACGGTGGACATCATCGACAACGACGGTTAAACTGTCATTTTTGCAAGTTATGGATGAATTGTCCCATATAGTACTGTGGAGTCTAGACGTCATTTCTTGTTTGACCGAAATCATAAAATTTCTCATATTTGTCCATTCGTATCATCCGAGGAAATGGGTCTGTGCATTTGAAACCCCTATATGTCATGTAGAAATCGGGGGTATTGATAATAGTGTAAGGAAAAACTGGTATCAGCCCAGGTATTCCGTCCAGCAATTTCTGGCTCACCTGAACATTTGACCCTCTGGAGGAATGCCTAACTTGTCTCTAGTATAACTTCGACTAGCCATTGCATCTTTGATGTCGAGACTTCCATTTTCGCTGGTAAGATATTCTTCTCAAACTAATCCGAAGGTTTCTGATACGTTGTCCCATCGCACAGGATGCTGGTTACTCTCAGACGGTCGCAGAACGACCAACATTTTAGAGAATAACGCTTATAGCTGAACGCGGAACGGAAGTTGAAACAAATGTAAAGTTGCTATGATTAAACAAATGAGGAGCACTTCAAATCTGAAAAGGAAACATGAACGCTCTCTCTTGTTCATCCACAGGCTCGCTATCTTGAGTATGGAGGAGCCAGGCCAGCGTTTCAATTTCCGTCATCCGGCTGTCAGTCGACGGTCGCGATAGCTGGACTGACCTGTAGGCGTGCGGTTAACGTCCGGCCACCGCTCAGAATTAACCTGAGATTCCCCTTGTCCGGCTGAGCTGGGTGAACGCTGCGTCCCCTGACAGGTTTGATCTTGCGCATCGACACGTGTGGGGCTGCACTCTTGCGCCTCGTGATCACGCGTTGCCGCCGTGGTCTACAGCCTAACCAGTCACATTTCCCACGTACAGGTGACTCAGTCAATCGATTTCGCATGCTGATTCGAATATTTCAGAAACATATGTAAAATCGCATCGTAAATCACGTGCTACAGAACGGAGGCCTTTTCTGACCCACAAGCGAACGGCCTGCCAACGAGTCTGCCATGTGTACCGAATAAATTTATTAACCTCCACGAGTCTTTGGCTTCTGCATGTGGACTGGAAAGTGCTTGCTGTGTATAGCTACAGCCGACCAGATATTGCTGACAGCAAAAGCGCCCACCTGACTTATTTATAGAATTCTACCACACCACTGCTTCACCTTGTTGCGGCGCCCACGGTGAACACCGTCGGCAACGACGGTCGATCTGTGAGTGTGTGCCACGCGCAGACTGGCGGCTTGGCCTGACCATCTGCTGCACCCGTGCCTACCTCCGACCGTCTTGGCACTCTCCTGCCATCACCGAAACATGGGTTAGGGAAGAGCGAGTATGATTAATGCCTCGTAATTCTGCCTCAGTATAAACTAATTCCAGCGATAGTCACTAGGGTTGTGCCCGTTTCGTTAAGCTCGCGGTGGATGGCATCTTTAGCGATGGTCGAATTGTCGGACCCAGAGCCATACCTGTCTGAACCCACTTTGTGCTTCATCTGCTTTACAAATCTCCCATTTCCCATATTCTTCTTGACTACAAAGATTACGCCATCAGCCTTTCTTATTGTACCGTTTGTCAACTGATTTCCTTTAAAACGTAGTTTCTTGTATATACCTCTTCCTATTATCTGAGATAGAGTTCCTTCGATGGTTATGCACATCAGGTTGTCTACGCTGATATCCCTCTTAAGAAGATGATTAACTTAATTTGGAATTTGTCGAGGGTCAATAGGCCAACAACAATTGGTCCAGGTATTGTATCTTGACGCCTAGCTTCCACAGTTTAAGCATTGCCCGGCAAGAACGCAGTATGCGACCCCACTCAGTTAAAAAAAAAACAGGTCATCTTCTAGTATGTGTTTTATGGGTGGAGCTAAACAGCGGAAATTAGAGCGGAATAGTAGGTAAATATTAGGATAAATGTTAAGGTGGCACATTGCTTCCTCAGGTTATATTTCTCGACAACTACTCAGAAAATAGTACGTGTACAGAAAACCCGATCCCCGAAAAACGATGGAGGCAGGAAGTTATCGGACAGTGAAAATAAAAGTTGAGCATTTTTCGCAGTTCTTCCAGTTTTTTTTTCACGAAAGAAGTAGATTACATTCCATCCACCTACGAGATCGGGGAAGCACCAATTATAAAAAGGCGTGGATGAAGTATGCCGCGATTAACTGACTTTTGTTCCCTGGGTGGGGTTACATACCACGTCCTTGCATATTGCCCCTTTGGAAATACCAGCAAACCCGTTGGCCTGACCATCCGACTGAGAGTGGAAAGGCGGTAACAACATTTGTTCGAAATGTGGTGAACTTACTTACGTTGTCGGTTACAATCTGGGTTCGGAGTCTGTACCCCGATAACGCTTCTCCAGTTTTCCTCCCTGTTTTTCTATCTTACTTTTCGAAAGGCCGAGTATCTCTAGCCATTTCGACCACACGTTCACTTCTAGGGGAAAACTGTAAAGAAGGCCCACCTAGTCCATGCGGATTTTGCTCCAGGGTTCCGTGGCTTCCAGCCATGTCACCTGTGGAGATTTCGGGGTTCTTCGCAAACTGTCTGCACAGGCTACAACTGTGGAGGAAGATTTCGATGTATCTGCTAATTCCAGACCAGTAAATGTGCTCTCTTGTTAGGTGCTTTATTCGCGTAATGCCGGAGTCTGCCGCAAGGCTTGTGCTTTATATTCGGCCGGCGCAAGTGTCCAACCGCCGTGTATAATGCAATCCTGTATGGTGTACAGCTGATCCTTCCGATTTTTAAAAGCCTTCAGAGATAGATGGACTCTGCTTCCGTCCGGCTAGTCACGCAGCATAATTTAGTGGACCTGACATAGCAACTCTTGTGCTCGACTGTAATGTGAATAAGATGATTAAGTTCCCTAAGTTCTTCGTCATCTTGGACCAAGGTTTGTGCTACGACCACGTCGTCCCGAGTTTTTTTGTCTCCACCCAGTCTCGACAAGGCGTCTGGAGCTCCAAATTTCTGCGTTGGTGTGCAGGTGTGCGTAGTGAAGTGTCTGTCATCCATAAACTGGTAGAATCTTTAAATAGCAAATATGACGACCGAGGCTTCTTTTTCAGGCTGACTGAAATTTCTTTTTGCTTTCGTCACTGACCTCGCCGCTCGCACTAGGAGCTGAATTCTGCC